GACTCTCTAAAAAGAAATCATTCGATGATAACAGCGGAAATGAAAACTCAATAACAATTATAGGGATTATTAATGGACATTGTTATATTTTATTAAAGTTTAAACTTAAATGTTATTTAATTTATAATTTCATATACACATTAAATATTAAAAACTTATAAATAATATTTTATTTAAAAGTGTTATAAAATAATATTATATTTATTTAATATTATTTTAATATTTATAATAATTATTAACATTAGTTTAATCATGATTCAACTAAATTATATCATTAAATTTTAAATTAGTGCTTAAATTGGTTGTCCAGCTTTGATAAAAAGTGGATCCCCTAATAGAAGTCATTTCATTCATTTGTCCCTCTCCCTTCTCTTATCCACTGAGTTGGACAAAAGTCCTTCTCATTACTTTCTAGTTTCTTTTCCTTGCAAAATTAATTAAAAAACCATTATTCAAATTGAACTTTATCAATTTGCTTGTTGAAATTACAATATTAATAAGACAAATTTAACAAAAAAATTGTAGCAAAACCTTTTCTTACATGGTATAGAATCGGTTCATAATATGTTTTCATAAAAAATAATGTATATAATTAAGAATGATAAAATAACAAAATTCCTTAATATTTTTTCAATTATTGTTTAAGACTTTGTTTAGCTTTTAAAAATAATTAAATTATGCACTTGTAAATATGTAAAATCTAAAATGTTCGAAAAAGTCTGCGATCACATAATATGTTTGGTTGCCTCGTAAATAATATTGGAATTCGGAAAATGAGTTAAATGTTTTCAACTTACTATTGTATAGTTAACTCGAGTAGTTGAATTTGTACTCCTTAATCAAGATTCGATAGAAAGAAGATATATTTCTTTATAAAATAAAATAAAGAATTCATAATTGTACATAAAATCTTCTAAGAAAGAACAACAAACCTTTTTTTTACGTTATTAACAACAGTACAGTTCGAGCCTCTATCAGTAGCTAGCTGTGAAAGTGAAAGTGAATAGAAGTAAGCCCATTACGGTTTGGGCCTTCTTCACTATGCTCGTGCTATACCTTACAATTTACTTATTTCGGTAAAACGAACTTTCCGGTTAGCATAAACCTATTCATCTGGATTATTAGTTTATTACTGTGTCTTTTTACACCATGAACAAAATTAAAATAATTTATTAAATAAATTAAGTTTGATTCATGTAACATAAGAAAATTACAAGAATTTATTAAATAAATAAAGTTTATTTAATTGTATGTAGTATATAATTAAATTGTTGAATTGTTTATTATAATTATTGTTTTAGAGCTCTAAGAGTCAAAGAAGTATGACGAGCTGAGTTATCTTTAAGATAATCTAAGATAGAGTTAAGTTAATTTAACTTAAAAGAAGGGTATATAAAGTTTCTCTTATGACATGAACATCATAATTTTTAAATTTTAAGAAAAATTAAAAAGAAGTCCTTTGGAATCCAAATTTTCTTTTTCCTTTTTTTTTTCCTACAAAAATCCATTCTTTGCCCTTTCGTACATCTAATCCAAGGTGACTGTTGTGGAGATTCAAGCTTCTAGGTTAGGAATCTTAATTCAGATGTGTGGAGTTCTTCTTATTCCTTATTTTCTTTTGCTTGGAGTTAAGGTAATAGAAGTTAGAATTGATGTCTTGTTGAATTGTTGAGTTATTGAGCATGAAATGGTTGTTGAATGATTGAAAAATTTTTGTTGAGTTGCATGAATTTTTAAGTTGGCTATTGAACTTTGGTGTTCTTAGTTTCCAAGAAAGGAATTTGGTGAATTTGAATGATCTTTTTGTTGTATGTTGTTATCTTAATGAGAATTGAGTTGAGTATGATGGTCGAATGTATATTGTTGCATTGCATGTTGAAATTTTTCTAGATTTCACGTGGTTTAAGCCAATTCATGAATATGTTAAATGTAGAATTCATCATCGTGCTAGAAGTGTCTTCATGGCACTGAACGTGACTTAAATCATGAGTTTTTTTGTCTTAGTCACATTGGATGCATGATTGATTACGTCAAGTGTGAGGAGAGAAAAAGCCAATAACTTGGTCATGTCAGGCGTGTTTTAAATAGCTTCGAGTGTAAGGTGAGAGAATTATCTCTAATTTGGTGACATTAGATCCTATTTTGTATGGGGTCCAACTTGACTAAGACAGAGTTGTTTGCCAAAGTGACATCGGGTGTGAGGAAAGGTAATCGTTTCTATCTAAATTGGGATCGGTCTTGGGTTTAGCCACATCATGCGTGATTGTCCTAGGAGATATATAGTCTCCTCCATGCTAGACCCGATTGAATAACACTAAGCGTGGGTGAGATAGAAAGCTCCTTATCTCAATGACACCAAGCGTAAGGTGGATGACATCAAGCATGAGTTGCCTTATGAAAACTTGTTTGATTGAGAAAATGTTGAACATGGATAGATTAGGTGAATCTATCACATATTGTATGTTGATTAATGTTGATGGTTTTATATTAATTAATCTAGGATAATGAATATAGATGAATTATTATAGAAATGTAGAGGAGTTGATAAAGAGAATGCTTGAAAAATCACATATTGTATGTTGATTAATGTTGATGGTTTTATATTCATTAATCTAGGATAATGCATATAGATGAATTATTATCGAACTGTCGAGGCGTTGATACCGAGAATGCTTGCAACATTTAAGCATTAGGATGTGTTGTGTTAATTGACAAGGGACTAGAGGAAAAGGTTTTTTCAAAAGTTAGATATCTCATTGTACATATATCAATGTGGTGCTCTAAGAGTCCAATTGTTGAAAATTTCTTTTGAGTAATTGACTCTTGAAGTGGATAGTTAAGTCTCTTCTAGAACCTTAGTTGATGTGATATGTGGGTCAAGTCAAGGCATATCAGGTATAAGCGACCATAGTATAAAGGCTAGGTTAAGCTACACTAATTATAAAGTGACCAATGTTGATTCTATGCGAGCAAGATTGATGCATACGTGTATAAAATGGCCAAATTAGAATAAGGTACAAGGTTAAGGGTTAAAATCCTTAATTACGTACTAGGGCAGAGTATTTTGAGGGTAGTCAGCGAACTAATTTCATAGGGGGCTTAGTTATACAAGTTAATATTGTGGTAGGCTCACATCCAGACTGTTTTACCCTAACATAAATACTAGACTTCATAGTTTAAGTGACAAAAGTTGAGAAATCATGTTCTTTTGGATTTTTATCCAAAATGATTGTTGATCTAGCTAGATTGAAGAGATTATGTTATTGTTTTGGTTGGATCAAGTCACTTAATTGCTTAACTGTGTTGTATGAGATATCCTAGTTGAAACATGTAACAATGCATATAATTAATTTGATGTGCATATGCGGTTGAGTTGTTATGTTATGTGATGCATGTGCCATGTTGTAGTAATATTCCAGTTGAATAATAAGTTGTGCGTGTGAAGTATTGGAGTTGATGTTGTTCACATGTTATCTGAATGGAGTTGAGGTGCATTGTTGTGTTGAATCATGTTGTATTGTGTTGACAAAGTTGCATGTTAATACTATGTTGAAGCATGATAAGTTGCTTATATATTAGTAGTGTAGTAGTTTTAATTGTATGTTGATTCTTTTAAACTCTAACTTATCCTTACATTTGATAGTAGTGATAGTAATGTTGCTTGTCCAACATTAATTAGGATTGCTTATACTCTAGTATCAGATTACTATGACACATACATATATTGTTTGTATGATCCAATTATAATTAAATTTCTACATGAAAATATATTATGTATGTCCAGGTATTATATATAAGATAATCCTAGGTAATTATTTTAAAAACAATTATTGCTAATAGTTAAGCCATTAAACGTAAAGACTATAATAGTTCGTTACAATTTATTACAAAGAAAATTAGCCCAAAAAGTTAGAAGAAAATTATGAAATGAAAGTACAAAAGGGGTCTTTTACGTTGTATATTTTAAGGCTTTTACGTCGGAAAAGGCTCCGGCATTAATACGGGAGACGTAAATTTACGTCACCTATCAAAGACGACATAAATTTACGTTGGAGATGTCTTGTGCCCGACGTAAAAAAGGGCTTTTAAAGGGGAAAATGAGGCAAGAATTTACGTCGGACATGGTGTAGTCCGACATAAATTCTTGCATTTTTTTTTAAATTTTGGTTGTTTTTTGATATACCCAAAACCTGCATATATATAGTCCATAATATAAAACCTAAACCAGGCAGTCTAAAATATAAAACCTAAACCAGAAATAGAAAGTAGATTCTTTCAATATTCCTATGAAGACAATACTTTGTTTGAAAAATATTCCTTCCATAGCTTTGGTGGTTTGATGATCTGACAAGTAGAGATGAAGTTATTCAATGATGGAGCTAATAAAGTTGATAAGAGATACTTCAGAAGTTTGATTGGTTGCTTGATGTATCTTATTGCAACACGTCCTGATATTTTAAATGCTGTAAACATTTTGTCCATGTTTATGCACTTGCAAGCGAATTACATCTTAGAGTTGCCAATAGAATAATTCGATATGTAAAAGGAATAAGTGATTTTGGTGTTAAGTTCTCATGGAGCAAAGAATTTAAGTTGACTGGTTTCTCTAACAGTGATTGGGATGGTTCCATTGATGTTATGAGAAGGCTACTGTTTTACTCTTGGATCTAGTGTTTTCTCATGGAGTTGAAGAAGCAAGAAATCGTGCCTCAATCCACTGTTGAAGCAGAATTCATTGCGGAAACAATTGTTGTCAATCAAGATTTGTGGTTGAGGAAGATTGTAGTGGATCTGAATCTGGAGCAGAAAGAAAGCACCAAGATATTGTTGACAACCAAGTTATTATTGCTATTTCACATAATCCTGTGTTTCATGGGAAAACTAAGCATTTCAACACCAAGTTATTCTTCCTAAGAGAAGTGCAAAAAAAGGAATGTGTGACTTTGATTTACTTCAAGTTTGAAAATTAATTGACAGATTTATTTACAAAGTCACTTTCTATCACATGAAGTTGTTCCTTGCCTTTTCTTCTTCAATAGATTTCAAGGTACCATCAGAATCAACATATTGAGTACAAGTTCCTAAAATAATCTCCGCAGCTCCTTTCCAATGAACCAAGTACCAACGAGTTGCATCAATTAGATAACTATTGGAGCTTCCATTCAGATGCATTAATATAAATTATGGACTATTTAATTCTCTGGCCAAAGAACCCACCTGATTTAAGGTCAAAGTTCTAGTATTATCATTGCAAATTGTTGTAGCAGAACCCATAGTTTCACATGCTGACAGTCTTCGCACCTACTTGGTAGTTAGAAAATATATCTTAAAATTGAATGAGAAAATGAACAAATAGTTGCACAACAAAAAGTTTCAAATACTGTGGTAACTATTGGAGAACAAAAAGTTACTTGCCAAAATGAATGTTGCAACAGCCAAAGGTATTTTCCAATTAGATGTGACCTATAAAAAAATTAAGATAATAATATGTTAAATAACATATAATCAATTAAAGAATGGATAAAATAAAAAATAAATAATAACATTAATAGATATACATGTAATTAATTAGAATTTGTGAATATAATATTATACAAATAGTTGTATATTTATGTGTGCATATATAGTAATTATATTTATACCTTGTGAGGGGTCCAGTCCACAGTTTTTAAGTTCTCTGTACTCTTGACAAATAGCACAAAGTAAACAACAATAGTGAACGCAACAATCCGAACATGGTTCTTCTGGTAAGTTATAGAGGGCTCTTAGTTTGCTTCTGAATCCGTAATGTATATAAGCTTTCCAACCCAAAACATCCGAGGGCAAAAAAAAATCAAACGTGCAATTGTAGGAGCTGCAATTATATATATTTCCATCATTTTTTAGGAAAATAATTATGAGGGAGATAATTAACTATATAGGTTTGTTGAAGACAACGTAAGCAACTTCAAAATGGAACCATTAAATTTAGAGATATAAGTTTACTCACATGTTCTTCCTTGGTCAATAATATCCACATTCCGGCCAAAGGTGAAACGAGGATAGCACCATGTAAGACAACCTTCATGAAACAAAGGGGAAAGGTTAATACTCTCGAAAAGTTGAGCTGAAAGTAATTTTTGAAGTCTAACTGTATAAGTAGTTAATTGGCATATATCAAATTTATTGAGGAACTACTATGCCTATATGGCTATATATAAATTTTTGAAACCAAATTCTCAAACATTTTAAAAGGTAAAATAGAAAGTAGATTCTTTCAATATTCCTATGAAGACAATACTTTGTTTGAAAAATATTCCTTCCATAGCTTTGGTGGTTTGATGATCTGACAAGTAGAGATGAAGTTATTCAATTTCTGAAACATTTTGGGTTTCTAACATTTTGTTTTCTTTCTAAGAGATTTCAAAACATCATGGTGAGCCAAAGCAAAGCCGAATAGAGAGCTATCCACTTTGATCAATTTGGTTATTTAATTTTTAGTAGGTTTCTTCACCTTAAGAATAGCCAAAGAAAATGGAGAAGTAGAAACTCAACTTAATAATCACAGAATTTCTACCATGGAGAAATTCAAATGCAAAAAGGAAATACGAAAATAGATTGGCTGCAAAGATTATGCAGCATGAAGTTTAGAAGCGACAGTTTGGTTGGCTAAGAAGTATGATCGAAGGCTATGCATTGCTTAAACATTTCATTTTCCACTCATTTTATTTGAACCTTAAATTCTTGAAATCTCGGTGGCTCCAAGAACCACCAATACCACGCACACAACCTGCGTGCTCTGGCCTTCCTATGGCCGTTATGAGGATATCATCCCGACCATGGGAAACAAATGACCCATGGGTGGTCTGCTCAACTAAACCCTCCTACAATATATTAACAATAAGTATACCCTAAACTACACTTATGAATTAAATGAGTTGAAATGAAGAGTCTTAGTTTGTATATTCTTACTTACTATTTTATCAGCAACGACCCTTGCAGACTTAGAAGTCATTTGCCCATCTGATTTTGTCCGGGCTGCTATCCACATCTCATGGCGGGGAGGTGACTCCACACGGTCAGCAGACTCAACCCCTGCTGCCTCTGCCCTAGCCTTCTTCATTTCCTTTTTTTTTTTTTCATATCCCCCTCTTGACAATAGATGGGGTGCATCATTCTTGGCCTGTCGTTCTTGGGCAGCTATTCTTTTAGCCTGCAATAATACAAAAAAGAAAATGAGATTAATTAAAATATACCTTAAGTATTTGTGTCAATGTAAGAGTTATCAATAACTAACCTGCCAAGAAGGGTCCAATCGAGTGGCACGAAATTGCATCCACTCCTCATCAGTGATCTGGTACTTTAGACAGGGAGTCTCATTTTGTCGCTCTCCAAATACATACTCCCGTGTCAAGAAAGTCTTGAAGTCTCTCCACCTGGTGGCAAGGGCAGATAACATCTTCCTCCTCATGACCTCAGTGTTGGGAATGTCAAAATTTTGCTATGAAAATAACAATAAATAATAAATAATGTATTTAAGTTATATAATATTAAAGGGATGTGAAAGTATATACCTGAATATCCTGCCATATGAGGTTCTTGTCAGCCTCCTGAACGTCATCCCATGATGGAATGATAATAGAAACATGTCGTCGAGCTAGGACTCCCAAATAGCTCTTAAACTTGGTAGCATTTGGGCCTGATGCCTTGCCAGAACGAGGATCCACCTCAACCGGTGTCCTCTCCTGGCAATGCGTCCAGCTGTCAACCCAGACAATCAGGTGACAGATCTACCTTTCCTCCTTCCACTGCCAGACTCCGAATCCTCCATAATCTTGAAAAAATTAAACTCTCATTTTTAAAATAATGAATTAACTGAATAGACAAATAAAGTAAAAAAGATAATAACAATATAGCAACAAAATAACTAATAAAAAAATAAATAATACACAAACAGAAACCTATTAGGTTGGAATGTTTTCCATATTCCTTCATCATGATCACTTTGAATAGTATGTATTTCGTCTCTCTTTGTTGTTTATTAGTCTTCTATTAAACCAACCACTTTTATTACCATTAGCTCGTATTATGATATGCTAGCCAATGCTGTATTTAACATTTATCATCACTTAGCTTATGTTGACTTCCATAAACCAGGTGAAAAGCAAATGCCACGTAACTAAATATAAGAAAGCTATTTAAACAACATTAACAAATTCAATTGATAACATATTAGTGGTCTAACCTTAAGAATAGCCAAAGAAAATGGAGAAGTAGAAACTCAACTTAATAATCACAGAATTTCTACCATGGAGAAATTCAAATGCAAAAAGGAAATACGAAAATAGATTGGCTGCAAAGATTATGCAGCATGAAGTTTAGAAGCGACAGTTTGGTTGGCTAAGAAGTATGATCGAAGGCTATGCATTGCTTAAACATTTCATTTTCCACTCATTTTATTTGAACCTTAAATTCTTAAAGATTTTGATTTAGAGAAACCATCACTATGATCCAATTGAGACAAGTATTATCCCAATAACATGTATTCTACATGAACTAAGCAAAAAAGAAGAGACCAAAACCAAGCCAACCAAACATAACTTCACTTTTGAACAACACCCAATAGAAACACTTTTCCTGTGAATCCTTCATATCTTCAAGAGAATAAAAAATATATCAAGAAAGTAAGAAAGAAACAGATACCTTTTTTTCCCAATGGAGGAAGAAACTCTACCATAAAGTGATGAACTACAATGGAACTACCAAAAAGCTGAGAAAAGAATCAACACTTCAGCATTTAAATTACAATCTCATCAATGAAAAAGCTAGAATCCATACCAAAGTGGTGAAAATTTCATTTTCCTCTGTCACTCTTTCTCGTGGTTCTCTGTTGAGCAGAAAAGTTCAGCTCTTATTTGAACTTCCTTCACCCACTTAGGAAGCAGAAAAAGGAATGAGAAAATCACCAAACATACTTGTATAAAAAAATATAAAAAAATTGAAGGGCAAATTGAAAATTCAAATCGCAGTTTTAGTGCCAAAATTGTTTGGCTATTGGACAAAATAAATTCAATAAATCAAAGTTATGTATAGGTTACGACTCTGTCTTGCAAAGAATTTTATCATATTGTTATTTAGTACTTCATGAAATATTAATTTCATGATATATCTGGTGTATAATACATAATTGGGAAATCAAAGTCATGGAAATTGATTGAACTCACATATTCAGATGCTTTAAGTTAACAAGTGAAGGTGCTTCATCTTCACAGACTAAGGATCAGAAATGAGAGAAATTTAATAAATCCGGTCAAGGAGTAGGGATGCAGGACATCAAACGTCTTTTGCATCAATTATCTTTGTTTTTCGGGTTGTAGGAGCCAAAACCTCTTTGTTGTTTATTAGTCTTCTATTAAACCAACCACTTTTATTACCATTAGCTCGTATTATGATATGCTAGCCAATGCTGTATTTAACATTTATCATCACTTAGCTTATGTTGACTTCCATAAACCAGGTGAAAAGCAAATGCCACGTAACTAAATATAAGAAAGCTATTTAAACAACATTAACAAATTCAATTGATAACATATTAGTGGTCTAGAACATTTAACAATACGAACTTGTTTTAGTTGCTCAAATCAAACTGCAAGATTGCAATCAGTAGCCCGCAACTGTTGGAATGTCTAATATTTCTTCGTGCCATGTCCATACTATATAACTCTTCATAATACCATATATAAAAAGGTGATCACGTATTTCTCCAACTTCTTGACGTATCTGATTCAAACAACGAACACATGGACAATAATATGCCCCTTTGATGGGTTTCCTATTTTTTCTTGCAAATTCCAAGAACTCTTCAACTTCATTTATGTACTCTTGACTAATGTGACTTGCATTTATCCAACTTCGACTCATTATCTATATATTAACACAAATTAACTATTGACTCAGTTATTCATAATTTTTCTAACCTAAACTACAACCCTAAAAAATCGATAGTAATTTCGGATAAAATTCATAAATATTTCTACTAATACGATGGTAAACTAAAGGTCAATGCCTAAAAAAGTCCATCTTTAATGCATCTGGAACGGCCCGTACTGAAACCAGAACGGGCCGTTCCAGATCAACAATTTACAAAACAAAAAATTTAAGCAGAACGGCCCGTACTGCTTGCAGAACGGCC